TTATATATTTTTATTTAAACCCTTATAGTTGTTGGAACTTTGAGCTATTGTATTTTTGCTCTTATATGTTCTACTTTTTTTTATATCATGGGCCTTTATGTTATTTGGTTTGGGTGATAGATATGAAAATATTGGTAGTACTAAATTCAACATGATCATCAAAAGTAAGAGGTTCAACTTTAACCTTTCTAAAGATATTTTCATGTGGGCATTCATTGTGCCTCAGGATGACATAAAATTTTTCAAAGCTTTAAGAAAGTTTCTTGTGGTAATGGGGATATCACTGCTGTGGAAACCTTTGATGAAGTAGCTACTACTCGGCTTACATCTCAAGCTTTGCTGGAAACTCATCCCCCGGAAAGCTCAATCTTTTTGTTGTATGGTGCGTGCGTTATGTTTAATAGACAATTCCTTTCACGATCTTTGTGCTGGATTCTTGTGTAAAATTACTGCTGACTCAATTTTCAATGGTGTCCAAGCTAATTTAGAATTATGGATAGGCTTATTAATGGAAGAGGGTACTATCCTTTCATTGTTCTTGTAGACGAAGGTGATTGTCCTCATGTATGTTTTCATGTGTTCATCCTTGCTATTAGTGATTTCTATGGACGGTAATGGCGCTAATGGAAGATAAGTGGAAATTAAAGTTTATACTGTAAATTTCTGACTATTCTTTGATATTTAACCAATGGGAATTTGAGAAGGTTTTATAAAGAAAGGTTGTAGAAGACATTAAGTTAATGAAAATTTAATTCTCAAACAAAAGATTTTGTATGTGATTGACAATTATATGGCCAAAATCTTAGAAGTAAAGTGCATAAATTATATATGAATGGGAGGAACCATGCAATTTTTTTGAGCATCGATCAAGTTTGAATTTAATTTGAAAAAATTGGAGTGACTTCATTTATATTTGAAAGCACATCCACATAATTTAAAGCAAAATTGAATTCATCTGGCATTTAAAAAAATATTCAATTAGCAGGTTTACATAGAGAATGCAGAAATGAAAATCTGGACACAATAAGTTTACCTATGAAAGACTTGATTTAATACCAAATATTATGTCGAAAAACTATTTTTTCATTATGATAATAGATTTAGATGAATGGTTTTAGCTCTCAATAAGAAAATTTACTATAAACGTAAAGCGAAATTTACGTACATGCCACCTAATTATTATGTATCTGCATATCTAACGCCTAAAGTTTGATATTTACATTTATAAAACTTTGGTGTTATAAAACCTATGCATGAGAAGGTGAATTTATGCATGAGAAGGTGAATTTCACTTATAAAAAGTTATTAATAGTGGTATTTTTGATGTGATGTGAAAGATTTGGGTGTTATGCATGTAAATATCAATTTTTAGGTGTTAGATATAGATATGTAAATATATAAGAATTGTGTGGTATGCATGTAAGTGCTCCAAACTTAAATAACTTTGAAACATAAATTTAAAAGAAATGTTTAGATGCACACTACTCTCAATTTAATCCCATTCATTGATGCACCTGATCATACAATCCTTAAATGTCGTATGATATAGAAATAAATTTCATGAAGAATGAGGCATATCTACCCCAATTAGAGGCGAAAGGCAACAAAAATTTCGAACAACCATGGATAATACTTTGATTCCACTGCATAAAGTCTCTAAGATGAAGTCAATAAGCACCACCAAATTCCATTACAATTAATAAAGCCAAAATCCGTCAGCCAATAGTTCCACATTAATCAGCTCGACTTGAAAAAACTTTGAGTCCTTTGAATTGAGCTTTGGATATTCATAAAACAAATATGACCTTAAATTTCTTATGTTTCCTGCAAAATAATCAATAAATCATCACATGCAAATCTATCATGCCAATGCACACGCCATCACTGGAATCCTCCATCAATATAGTGGGCATCCTTTCATCATTTTGAATAGCCTCAGAAATCATTTCAAGATCAAAATTTTGTGGTAAAATTTGGCAAATTAGCTCAAAACTGTCGTGGCATAAAAGAAATCATTGTAATTCAAAAATAATTATATGCTTTATTAATCCAAGTGTGGTACAAAATAGATTTATGATAGAATGTAGACTAACTAGGAACAGTTAAAATTTCAAGGAATTAATTGTAAGTTTATGTAGTAAGATCAAGCAACAAACTATATTGATATAATATTTTAAAAAAATAAATTTGTGCAAAATTTAAATGATTTTGCCTTGAGTGCATTCAATTTATTGAAGATTCCCAAGGCATCAAGATGTTATTGCCAAACTTAAAAATCCATTTGCCTCATGTTCACATCAACTTAAGCATGCAGTTGTCTTAATTATTAGCTTGTTTTTTGTAACTATCCTCATGCAAGTCATGCATAGGCTGTGCTAATGACTATGCATATAACTAATTTGATATGAGAGAAGTAATAAACTGGCTAAAGTACTAACATGCATTCTACAAACAACTAATAATAGCTTGTAATTAGATCCAAGAGAAGAAATGCTAATGCAATTCCAGGCAAACAAATCACATAATTATGATGTTTATGGATATATGACCTCTCCGAAGAAAAGTAATCTAAATGGCTTAAAATTAGTTGTGATGAATTATGCACTTTTAGAGTTGACAAACTAGATAAAAATTTTAATTTTTAGGTTACTTTTGATGCTACTGTTTTTAACAAACGCTTGAAATATTAACTTCACTTTGTCCTTGCCATGAGGCTCTTTTTATGAATTAATATGCTATTAAACCATGAACAAATGAAGTCATCTCCGGTCTGATTATCTAACATTGGAATAATATTAACAGATAATTCATCCAAACTTGCTTTTCTAGATTTACGGATATAATTAATTAACTACATCATATCTGATTGCTTTTTCATCATATAGATAAAGGTTCAGTTTTGATTAGAATTCATATTCAGATATGATCTTATGCTCGATTGGATGATCGATTGCAGATGCAGATTTAAATTCATAATTATCAGATTTAGATTCATATTTTATTTACAAATCAATTTTGCTCATTTAAAACATCCTCTAATGAATATTTGTGAACTACTGTTTCTTCAATAAAATTAAATTCAACTATTCATGATTCTTGCATTGGGGCATTTTCAATTGTCTTTAGATGAGTTATTTTTAAATTTTCCTTGGGAATGAACACTATTGCAACATTTCTACTATATACCTGTAATTTCATTTGATGCTTAAATATTTAGATAAAACTTTTGATAGTACATTTGGTGAATTATAGTTTTGTTCATTCTTAGATTTGTGCATAAGAGTTTCAATGAAATAATTTGTGATTGCAAAATAGTCCAAGGGAAGCCATCTCGTTATAATGCCCATAATTTGCCTCAGTGCTTAATGTTGAAACTCAAAGCCTTTGATAGTATTTTTGGTAAATTATACCCTTGTTCATTCTTATGTGCTCACATAAGACCTTGAATGAATAAAGTAGTGATAGGAAAATCGTCCAAAGTTAAATCTTATGTAGCTACATGGCTTGTAAAATTTATATAATATTTAAACGTGCTGGAGCGATTTTGTTTACAACTCTGGAATTGATTATGCATTTCATCCCGTCATTCATCAAATTTTAAATATTTCTCATTTAGCGTATGTTTCGAGCTTATTCATGGTGATATTATTTTACTAGAAACACTTTACCAAAATAATTGAGCACGTCTCCCTAAATTTGGTTCAAAAAATTTCTTCGAAATCAAATTAATGATAGGATTTAGAGATGTGTTCTAAATACTTTGATGCACCTTGAAATTTTCTAAGATCATATCTCTCATTAAATGTTGGAATGTAATTTTGAACTTTACGATTATCATGTTGTCATGGATTAGAACCGTGGTTTATCAAATTCTATTTAAGTTTCATCATTAATTAAAATTTTCTGACTGATCCTATTAAAATCTTAATTGTAGTTGACATGATGACTCAACCTTAACCTTGAATACTATTATGATTTAGAAAAACATAGGTTAGGGTTTCACTCCTAAGCAAAGCTATAATATAGCTTTTAACTTTAAATAGCTTGCACATAAATTCGCCCTCCCACTGGTTGTTTGCTTGTGACCACATGATCTATAGTGCCATAAACCCGAAGCAGCTTATGCCTATCCTGGAAATCCCATGCTTCAAAAACAAATTACGCAAAAACCTAAAAGACGAGAAACTGCCCCAATTGGCAAAGAAAAAGCCCAACAACAATTCAAAACTTCTAACGATAATTCCAAGTCTCCACCACTCAAAGTCCTAAGATATAACCATTAACCAATTCCAAATTTCGGTACAAATAATAAAACCAAAATCCACCCAGAAGTTACACACCGAAGCATATAATAAATGACATAGTAGGCCAGGTGAAATCGCAAAAGTTCACTTCAAGCTTTAGACTTGGAATAAGGACCTATCGTCAATGGAAATGTGAATTTCATGGAAGTAATTGATGGTATTCCTTATTCTAAGGTCATATTAGGCCAGTTGCAATTGCAACATTTCTCTTGAAGCCAGAAATATCTACATATGATATGATTCATATAACTTTTTCTCCTTCCCTTCAGAGTATTTAGCATGATTTGATGTGCATTAGTGAAAGCATTTCTTGAAGTTACTCAAATATAAAATAACAATACAAGCTAGCCCATGTTTCTTACGATGACAGTGCATTTGATGCTTCACATCAGACCATTTTACCTTGATTTGAAGTTTTTCTTCTGCATCTCTTCTTCTAGTCATCTCTGGCTTTTCTAGCATTTCGCCAAGTATATATCTTTTAGTGCCATATGGGGAAAGCCCATTGATCTTTCAATCATTTCCTCTCTTAAGCATGGATCTTGGCATGTTACATGAAGATTACTAGCTATTTTCAGATGCTTCTCAATTAGCTGCAAATGTTTTCAGATATATATGTTTTGTTTTAATTGTTAATATCTTTTTTTTTTTAAATAAATTAATTACTTTATTCTTTTGTGTTTTCTTTTTATGCAGTGCAGCACATGATGTATGGCTTTGGAGATGATCCAAATGTAGGTTTATCTAATCCTGATTTATAGTTTTTTTATTTATACAAGCCATTTGTTGTTCTATTCTATTAAATAAGATTTAGTGCAAGGCTTGAAATATCATTTATTTTCAAATTTATTGCTTCTTTATGCTGAAACTCAAAAATGCATGTTTATCCATCTAATTTAGATTTATTCTTGAGATGAGATTGTCAACATTCCTGTCCGAAGATTTTTCAAGAAGTTAGCACTTGAAAGGGTGATTTCCATGCATTTCATGCTTAAAACAAATAGGTTTTTGCAAGTCTTTCTTCTATTGTTAGAAAATATTTTAAGCGTGAATGTAAATTCACTATTTATTTATTTTTCTTACCCTTTTGAAGTTGGTTTCACCATTATGGTTTTTTTTACTTTCCCACTATGATTATTTTTTATGATTAGATAGATGATGTCGCGATGCTGTGAAACACATGTCAACCATGTAAATATATGTATTCCTCAAGTAATATATAGATTTGAGTCCGTGTATCGAACTTGTTAATTTCCACAATGGGTAAATATTCTAGTTTACTAGTCTTAAGTTTAGTTTGAAGAGTTAAAATTTTGGGAGTTTGAAAGTGACTAATCCTAATATTTGCAAAGAAATAGAATCCTAAGTAGAAAACGTAGAGTTTTCTTTCAAGTGAAATATTCTCCCCTGAACTGACCTAAGAAAATTAGATTTAACCAAGTGATTCAGTTATTAGTGACAATCAGGAGCATGTTTTATCCTTAGCCATTTTCAAGATCATAAAAACCCTTGGGATTTTATATTACAATTTAGTTTCCTAAAACATGCAAAAATTCTCAGGACTCCATGTCTCCCTTTGTGATTACACTATCCTAGCAACAATATTCCTTTTCTCCTAAGAGAGTATGCTTTAACTTAATTTTTCTACTAAGTTTTATTTCTAAACTCATGGACCACCATAACTTTTAATAGATTAACTAGTCAGATTGAAAGGAAATCAAGTGTAGAAAGTTAAACATCACTATTCCACAAGATTAAATTAATTACATAACATGGTTAATATCTAGTTTCCTAGATTATCAATCCTAGGGAGGAAAATGAAATCTAAGTGCTACTCATGATCAATGTTTTTAAAAGCGTGTATGTAATCACGCTCCGCATGCGGCGTGAAGCGTAATGGGCGTCGCCTACGTCACTCCACTGTATTGCAGTTCAGCTGTGCGAAGCACACGGTTTGCATTGAGTCGCCCTTCAAAGCTCGATTAAAGGACCGACTCGATCTAGTTAACGTGCGAGGAAAATTAAACCTTATATTTTAGTCTTCTGTTCGATGGATCAAGCCACTGGAGTAAATTAGACTAGGAGTACCTTCAAGCTTCAACCTTCGACTTTTGACGCAGAGAGTAGAAGCTTTGATTGTAGGAGACACTTGTTGTAGACACTTCGTCCTTCGGCCATGGTGGTAGAACCTTTGATCGCATCGACAGAAGGTTCCACCGTAGATGCAGATGACAAACGCTTCGACTGCAGTATGCATTTCAATCATTTGTGAGGACTCGAGGGCTTTGACATCGGAGAATGGTGTTATGTATGTAAATGCCACATATTTTTTGGTTTTAATTCGACAAATTTCAATCGTCGTGTTATCAAGACGTGAATTAATGAACTAAAATAATTCCTTTAATAGGAAGATTTTCATACATACCACTCAATTCGTATCATCTTGTGTAAATTGAAGGGTGGTATGTATGTAAAAACCCGTTATTAGAAGGGTGGTATGTCTGTAAATATGCATGTGATATTTAAATGCCCTGATTTTTGAATAGATTATATTTTAGTTGAATATTAATCATCATTCATTTAATTCATGATTTTATTCTAACCTTGAATTTATTTCAAGATTATATTAATTTTCTATAAAAACTTTGGGTGGTATAAATGTAAAAAAGTAAAGTCCAGATGTTAGCTATGTATTTACATGGGAATTGGGTGGTGTGTATGTAAATGCCCTTTTCATTCATAATAAAAGAAAACCTTTATAATCATAATTCTCTTTATATTATAAGAATTTGAATCAAATGTGATAAATTCTATTCTTAATAATTAGAGGCCGTTGTTTGTGAATATAACATTGAATTATTGCCGTATTCTCTGGAATCACATGAGTACTTCACATAAATCTTAGCTTTGCCAATATAATATGTTGTTATCGATGAATTTCCTGACCAAAAAAGGGCTAATATATATAGTCAAATATATATGGCGTTGGCGGTTTCATGCGTCAATATATATTCCCTGCTTCTTTGATTCCTTCAGTTTTACGCGTCACTTGTTTTGCGTGCCCGACGATGAAGAGTCTCACGCCAGTTTTGATTCCTTCAGCTTCAGCTTCATCGTCTTCCTCCTCCTGTCGCCGTAAGTCTCTCGTCACTGTTACGAGCCGGGTGTAGCTGTTTTTCGCACTTCGTCCTTCCTCCTTCGGCTTCGTCTTCCTTTCTTCTTGACGCAGTACTATTTGCGTTGTTTGCTGAATCTGGCCGCAGGGTTTCTTGCGTGCACTCCTTGCATGTCAAGATGGCCTCGGAGCTCCGTTCTTACGCTACCGCTCTTGCCGGTGATAATCCCGCTCGCGTCCCTATTTCGTGTAAGTTCCCGCAGCGATACCACGAGACCTTAGCGCTGAGCGTTGACACCTGATTTCTCAAAAAAACGTCCCGTAAAAATGGTAAGCCTGCAATCTTTCTCTCTGAGGACGAGATCTCCCCCTTAGCTTCATCCTGCTGGCTGATTTTAGTTGGTAAGTTCCTCTATGGAAACCCAAACTCGAGCTAAGTTGAAAAGATTTTGAGCAATTGCGACTGAAAGGAGGATGGTAGGTTGGTAAACTGGACGGTAGACATATTCTTATACAATTATCATATGAAGAAGACTATGCCCATTTGTTTGCGAGAAGACTCATTCAAATTGATAAATGTGTGATGAAAGTTTTAAAATAGATAGTCAATTTTGACCCTCACACCGAACCTCTACCATTCTTGTATGGCTACGCTTCCCGGGTCTGAAATTCCATCTCTTTAATCATGAGCTTCTCTACTCCTTAGCTATGGTTTATGGTAAACCCCTCAAAACTAATATTCTTACAATTAATCTGAGTCGGCCTTCTGAAGTCAGAGTTTTGATTGAACATGACATTACTCTACATTTTCCGGGGGAAATTTGGATTGGCTCACAGCACCAGGGTTTTTGGCAGTGGGTGGAACTCGAACAGTTCCCACTTTACTGCACTCACTGCCGTATGTTTGGACACTCTCACTCTAAATGTCATCATTTGCACCCTCATTTAAAACCTCAGAGTAAAGATGTTAATGGGCCTTCTACCCCAACTCACACCTCTCCCTCCTCCACCCCTGAGGGCAATCCACAGGCTATTAAAACTTTGGTTGAAACGCTATTAGCTCTCATTCCAACAACCGAAGATCCCCCATGACAATACTGTTTCTGTTTCGGCGATTGACGTATTGCTGGATGGTTTAGCTGGGCAACATACAGCTTCAAACCTTTATGAAGACCATACTGAAGGAACGTTACCTACAAAGGATAATGTCCGGTCAGATAATCAGGAGAACTTTGAAGCTTCTCATCTTCAAGAAGCCTCAGGTGCAGAGGAGATAATTCATACTTCACATATCCTAGAACCTACCATTGCTTCAACGGGTGACAATCTTTTTATTGCGGCTCTACCACCTCATCAGACCGAACAAGTTTTAATTGTTAGTCAGGCGCAAGAGGCTCGTCAGATTATACATGCTCAGCAATCTGTCAGCCAATACACTGATCATATGAGCTAATATTCTGATGAGGAATGACATGTTTACACATCCAGAAGGAAGAAGAATGGCCTACTCGAGCTTAGGAACTTAATGAATTGTACATTGATTACTTCGAGTAATGAGATAAAACACAATAATTTGTTAGTTGGTTCCGTTCCTAGAACTAGAGACAAAGGTAGGACTAAAGTGGGTCGTTCCCTATCAACTTGATTCTGCGATCTCGCAGTTTTGGTTTTTTGGGCATACATGTATTTCCTTTTTTGAGACTTTTGTGTGTGTTGTATACCGTGTGGGTAGGGTGCCTTTTTGTGCCATCTCATACAACATATCTTTACCTTTTCTTTTTTTTTTTAATATATTAGCCCTTGGGATTTTCTATATATATATATATATATATATATGCATGCGCGCGCGCGCGCGCATGCCTGCGTGTGCGGAGAATACATGTGAGTGAGAACTTCATATCAAGATAGTAGGTATATTTAATTCATTAGATCTTTAGAAAAAAAAATCAATTTTATTCGAGAGCAAGGATGTAAGATACCGTGGGCATTGTCGATCCCGCCTCACGAAACCCACCATTTGATCAAACCCACCACTAGCTTGCAAGTGAATATCTTATATTATTTTTTTTTATTCATCTAATTCATATGATATTTGAATGAGTTTAAAATATATAAATTGTAATTAATAATTTGTTTGTGTTTGAAAAAAGCAACTTAGGTATGGTTAATTCAAATGGAAAGAGGAAAGATTTAACTTGGAAATATACAAAATTAAAAATTGAATCGAACACTTTGTCATATATGTATTTCTTGTGCTAGGGAGATAAATGGGAGCATATCTCGAACCATGGACCACTTAATTGGTCCTTTTAATACATAAAAAAGGAGTAATGTTGTCAAGTGTAAGAAAGTACATTCGAACGTATGGGATGAGTTGCTTGCTTATTAAGAAAGAGTACGGAAATAAAAAAAAGAATTTATTTATGAAAGACAAGAGAAGGTGGTTGATATAATTTAATAAACAAATATTCAACCGCCCTTATACTGTGATAAAAGTGGATTTGAATCAAGCTTTGGATTAGAGAGTAATAACATATCTAAAGGCATGTTTGGGACAAGCTATGACTGTATGAAATCTAAGTTCAAAAGTTACCATGGATAATCTGCTGTTTAGAACCT